GGCCTTATTGGAGGAAGTGTGTCACTGTGGGGGAAGGTCTCTTTTGCTCAAGTTTCCCTCTGTGTAACAGTTCATCGACTTCCTGTTGCCTCTAAGTCAAGATGTCAGGACTGTTGGCTCTAGCACCGAGTCTGCCTGCACACCATCATGCTCCCTGCCATGATGATAATGGACTGAACCTCTGAAACTGTAAGCAACCACCTCAATTAAATGTTTCCTTGATGAAGAGTTGCCATGGTCATGGTGTCTCTTTACAGCAATGACAACCCTAAGACAGTTTCCCAAGTAAGTAAAGAAAGGCTAAGGCTAAGAAGGCAGCTCAGTGGGGACAGTGGTTGCTGTAAGCCTGAAGACTGGATATGGTGGTTCAAGCTTGGAATCCCAGCACTGGAGAGATGGTAACAAAACATTCCATGGTACCACCCCCCCACAGCCACTCATCCTCACTACTAGGCTAGGTGAACCCCATACTCCAGAGAGAGACTCTTGGTTCAAAAAACAAGATGGACGGCTCCTGAGGAATGACACCTGGGGCTGACCTCAGGCACACACAGGAAACGAGACTACTAAAGCACACCTAGTATCATTCCTACTGCATTAGCTCTGAAGCAACTGATGCAGGAGAGACTCCTAATTTCTTGAGAAGTCCATTTCAAACAAAGACACCTCCCAAGCATTCTGTATTATTGCCCACAAACTCAACTGATCTCCATTTGTACATGTAGCCCGAACACCCAACTAGAGTAGCATTTATGGCAGCAGATGGCAAAAGACAGCCCCCAGGAATTCTTTTCTTCCTGTTCATTAATGCTAGTCTTCGCTACAATAGGTAGAAGTTACTCTCCATCCCCACCAGCTGATTTTAGATTAGTCTTGACTGTACTCAACCATAACTACACAATTAGGCTTTCTCTTTATGTTTTCCTATCTTTAACTTCAAATCTAGCACAAAAGGACTTCCTATTTCCTGCACTACTCTTCCTTGGAGCACAAGTCACTATACTCAAAGGTTTGCACAGGAAAAAGCAGGCTTTGGACCCTATCTGAACTCAAAGTCTGGCCTCAACCTCATCATCTTCCTGTCTCTGCCTCCTACATGTAAGGAGTATAGGATTGTGTGATATTAGCAATGTTCGCCTCTTTATGATATTTTGCTTATTGGATCATTACTTGAAACAAAATGTCTTAAAATTATTTTTCCCCACTTGATCTTGGGACTGCTGGAAAAGAATACATTTACCCTATTTCTGGAACAAAACCAATTTATCCCTTAGTATATCTTTCTATTCCCCCATACAGTCCTAAATAGCCATGTGCTCTAGCTCCTCTCCATCCTTCTCATTTTGCAGCTCAGGCTCTCTTCCAGTCCTTATCTCTTCTGGGGTTCTATACTTTTATTGGCTGAAGAAAGGCCCTTAGGACTTGCTAAAGCTGAGAGACATCAGCACACAGACTGTTTAATGCAAACTACTGCTTTCTTCTTATCTGCTTTCACAAGTTAATCAGCTTACACTACTTTTCATAAGTACTGTAGGACAAGTTTTAAGTCTAAAACATGTATGAATAGTCTACTTGAAATTAGTAGTAGCATTAATAACAATTTATTGTAAGCAAAGTGCTACATTAATGTGATATTAAGTAAATTCATAACAATATTCGATTCCATGTTGACATTCTCAACAAATTTAACATTAAATTTTTTCAACTGAATTGGATGTGGTGGTACACGCCTTTAATTCCTGCACTCAGGAGGCAGAGGCAGGCAGTTCTCTGTGAGTTCAAGACCAGCCTGGTCTCCATAGAAAGTTCCAGGACAGCCAAAGCTACAGAGAGACCTTGTCAAAAAAAAAAAAAAAAAACCTGTACCAAAGTTTTTAACAACTGAGGAAAAACACCAAAAATTTCACTAAAAGAATTGACTGGGCTGGAGAGATGGCTCAGTGGTTAAGAGCATTTCCTGCTCCTCCAAAGGTCCTGAGTTCAATTCCCAGCAACCACATGGTGGCTCACAACCATCTGTAATGAGATCTGGTGGCCTCTTCAGGCATACATATAGACAGAATATTGTATACATAATAAATAAATTAAAAAAAAAGAATTGACTAAACGAATAACCCACTTTGCATTATGCATTAACTATTTGATACAATCAAATACAATCCCTTCTTTATCTTAAAATTGAGTCTGAACAGGCAGACGTGTTATAGTAGGTTAATGCCACGAAGGGAAAGTCGAGACTTACTTGGATTCATAATAGGGCTATGGCTGAGCCAAACGAGGAAAGTAAATCTCTGCTCTGCTTCTCTTATTGGGATGTCACTCTTAACAACTCTCTTCAAGTTGCTTCAAAAAGCAGTCACAATAGCAAGGTCAAAAAGTAACTAAAAATTAAAGAAAAATTGGCTTCTCCAGTGACTGGCTCCACACTCAATAATGTGTGGTACCCTCGAAGCTACGAGCTATTACTGAGCCATCTCCAAGTGCTCTTAACTCAATCCGTAGGCCATTCTCAACACCTAACTCACTGGCACAAAGCACAGCTGAAGGAGTTCCGAACCTTCCTAGGCTGAGACTTACAGGAGCTAAAAGGGGTGATCTCATAATGCCCCTTTATTCCATACATTGTTCCATAAATCTGACTATCAAGATTGTACTGGAAGTCAACCCTCTGACGTGGAAAACCACACTGAGCGCTTCCTGAATCCATGTTGAACTGACTGAAGAAATAAAAGCAACTTTGACTTCCATTCCCTGTCCCCAAATTTCAAGGTCTCTTTGCTGATAGTATCCCAGGCTGCCTTAACTTGCTAGTCTCGAATTCCAGATCCTTCTGCCTCAGTCTCTCAAATGCTAGGATTCCAGACATGCACCACCACACTCAGCTTGTTTGTTTATGGTCTTTTGAAACAGGGTCTAATTCTATAGCCCAAGCTGGCCTCAAACTCATGGTAACACTCCTGCCTCAGTTTCTTCTTCTTTTCTTTCTTTCTTTTTTTTTTTTTTGTTTTGTTTTGTATTTCTGAGACAGGGACTCACTATGTAACTCTGGCTGTCCTGGAACTCAGTCTGCAGGTCAGGCAGGCCTTAAACTGAGATCCACCTGCCTCTGCCTCCCAAATGATGGGATTAAAGACATGGGCCACCTCGACCGACTTGCCTCAGCTTCTTAATGCTTATAAAGTGTAAGCCACCATGCCAGGCTGAAGGGGGTCTCTTAATATTTTAGAATGTCAACACAAGCCAGAACTGCAAGAAATACCTTTAGGCTCAATAGAATTTTGTTAATGACAAACTTTAGTTAGGTGTTTTTGAAGGTATTAATACAAAAACTTTTTAATGTATTTATTCATTTATTAAGTGTGCGGATGTTTTGTCTACATGAATGTCTGTGCACCACTTGTGAGCCTTCAGCTTAAGGAGGCCAGGAGAGTGGAGGGTCCCCTGGGACTGGAGTTACAAACCACTGTGAGCCACCACGTGGGTGTAGGGACTCCTCCAGGAGAGCAGCAATGCTGAGCCATTGCTCCAGCCCCCAAAATAAAAACTTAAATTTGACCAGCTTCTATAAATATGAATGGGGCAATTTAAAACCTAATTTTAAACTGAGTCGGTGTCTATATTTATCTAATTTGTTATGGCATTTTGGGCAAAGATGAAAAACAACTATTCAATAAAAGAATGCTATTTGGAATGATGAGTTACAATTACTTCTGAAAAACAAAGACATAATAGCAAATAATACCAAAGTCCCTAGGACCACCTGTTAAGCTAAAAAAAAAAAAAAAAAAAATCTATGCATCCCATCGTCTTTAGATGTAACCAGAGGCTGGTTTACACCTAGGATATCCAAGAAGCATCAGATTAAAAGCATCAAATATCAACCTAACCCAGGCTGCTAAACACAAGCACAGCAAAGGAAAAGCCCCATACAAAGTTAAAGAAACAGGGTCTAGAGGTCTAAACATACCCTCAAAATGCAATGCCTACACTCTGCTTAAACCTCTAGCTCAGGACAACCACTAACCCTGGCGTATTTTCTACCTCTTTCCTCATCCTCTCTAGAATTTCTAACGGCTCTTAGCATTTCCCCAAGGCCTTTCCTCTCCCAGAAAGTGAAACAGCACCTGGCCTCCACATTTTACTGCCTAACCACTTAAGGCCTAAGTTTTGTTTTGCCTTCTCTCCTATTGGTTATTAAATTTGTCCCCATTTGCCTGTACCTACATTTCTTATAATCTTGCCTCCCCTGCAAAGCAAAGCATGTATCTATCTCCTTTTTGATATTTGTAATTCTGGCTTACAGTCAACAGTGCCTTTCTCTCCCAGGGACTGTCACCATAGCTCTAGGTCTGAGTCCTTATCTTCTACTCAAGGCCTGTTCTCTTCCAGAGTTTGACAACATTAGTTTGGCCAACTGGGATTCCGCCCTTAGCCAAAAAGCTATCCTCCCAGCTCTTCTACAAAACTACTTGCCTCCCCCAGCCTGGGCTTTTCCCCCTTCACCGTTAAACCCATCAGTACCGAGCCCTGCCCCCAGTGTCTGTCTTGCCTTTATTCTGAGCTCCCCACTATTCCCCACTCCTGAATGCACCTCCTCTCCCAGGCCTTACCCGTAACCCTGACACCGGGAAGGCCCCTGCCAGCGTCCACAGGCGTCTCTCCACCCTGGTTCCTCCGCTCTTCAGTAACTGTCCCCACGCCCCTTTCCCTCCAGGGCCCCGCGCGCCGCCAGGAGCCCCCACCTCGAATGCGCTCCCACTGTCACTTGGCCTCTCTTCCACAAGATGGCGGAGCTGCTGCCCCCACCCCAGGGTCCCCTCTGCACCCTTCTGCCCCCTCCCCCGAGCTCCAGTCCAGTCCCTCCCTCCGCCTCTCCACCACCGGCCTTGGCTCCAGGTCCCACTGCTCCCACCCGCGGTGAGCGGGCAACCCAGGCCTGAGCTCGGCGATGCGTCAACGCCGCCTCCTCCACCATTCCCCAGCCCGCACCATCTCCTCACCATAAACTTGAGCGCTTTCTCCTGCAGCACCGCCTCTGCCGGGTCCATAATCGCCCGGGCTACTGGGTCTCCTCTCCGCCGGGGCCGCCCCTTTCGTGCCAGGCCGCAGCCAACGCAGCGCCCCGATCCCGCCTCCTCTTCCTTCCCCCGCCCTCTCTCACCTCCTGGCACGGGCGGGAGGGGGGGGGGTCGGGGGTGCTGAGGAGGACGCGTGGCACAGCGCGTGCGCGCTCCGCTTCTTCACGGGACTTGTAGTTCTGGAGGCTCGTGCGTTGCAAGGCGAGAACACGCGGCGAACAGCAACTCCCGCGGGTCCCTGCGTAGAGTCGCGACTGAAATCTGGAGCCCTCGAGAGCCAGGAGGGGAAGTCGGCTGACGGGATTTGTAGTTTCAAGCCTTTAAGAGTGGGAAGCCAGGGTGTCACCGTGGTTACCGAACGACGCCAGTGGCTGCTTGCCTAGCATTTGATAGCAAGATGGCGACTAGTGCTTCATCTGTATTCCAAACACGAGGAAAACTGAGAGAACTCGGGATCCTTGGGCCTCCCAATTGATTTTGGAGAACTGGACCCTCCTAAATTTTATATACATGGGTTTCAGCAGAAAGTCTAAAACCTAGGGACTCTGAGCCCAGTGTACATGTGGAAGTAGCCTAGACACCAATGCAAGATTTCAAAGTCTTCCTAAGCTATTGCCTCTTATTTCTGAAGAGTCTTTTCTCCCCTAGAGCAAGTCAGAGGCAGATAGAACTTAGTCCAGGAAATTCTTGAGTTCAGCGCTCAAAAAATAAGGGCTGTCATTGCTAACCCTGAAATCTAAATCCTGTATTAAGTCAATGAAATACACTGACCCCATCAAGCAAATGCAACCTATAGCTTCTTTGGCCTTGAAAATGACAAAATGAGCTAGGGAGATGTCTCAACGAGTAAGAATGTTTGCCGTTCAAAGATCAAATCCCAGCACCCACATAAAAGCTGGGCATGGGGGGGGGGGGGGGCTGGAGAGATGGCTCAGTGGTTAAGAGCATTGCCTGCTCTTCCAATGGTCCTGAGTTCAATTCCCGGCAACCACATGGTGGCTCACAACCATCTGTAATGAGGTCTGGTGCCCTCTTCTGGCCTGCAGGCATACACGCAGAAAGAATATTGTATACATAATAAATAAATAAATAAATAAATATTTAAAAGATGGGCATGGGGGCTCAGTGGTTAAGCATACTTGCTACCTTTTTTCTTTCTTTCTTTTTTTCTCTGTGTAACAACTTGGAGCCTCTCCTGGAACTCATTCTGTTGACTAGGCTGGCCTTGAACTCACAGAGATCTGCCTGCTTCTGCTCCCCGAGTGCAGGGATTAAAGGCGTGGACCGCCACTGCCTGGCTACTCTGGCAGAGAATCTGGATTCAGTTCTCAGCACCTATGTGATTCACAACCACTGAAAACTTCAGTTTCCTCCTACCCTTTAAGAAAGAAAATGACAAATGGGCTTATTTTGGAAATTCAGTGTACCTCTGAAGGAAAAAAAGAGAATCATTAGGCTTGGCCTAAAAGCCAGATTCTGATAAAACTGTACAAAATATCTGAATTTTTTTAAATAAGCAAATAAGGAAAATACCTTTTTGCTTAAGCAGTGAGCTCACCAACCCAGCCCTCCTGAAGAGGCAAGGGGATCGATGCAGTTTGAGGACAGCCTGTTCTACATAGTAACTTGTAGGACAGGCAAAGCTAGACCTCTGTCAAACAAACAGAGAAAGATATAAACTGTTTTCCTGCAAAGGACCTTGTAGGACCTCTTTCTCACACACTAAGCGAGTATTCTGTCACTCAGCTACGTCTCCAACCCCTCTGTTGTAAACAATTTTATGTTTTCATTCAACAAATAGTAAGCATACTACTGTGCAGATATCAACATGAAGAAGAAGAGAAAGATGATGGTGAGGATTCAGTTCAGACATGGTGGCACTTGTCTCTAATCCCAGCACTTGGGAGGCAGAGGCAAGAGGATCTCTGTGAGTTCGAGGCCAGCCTGTTTGACATATTGAGTCCCAGGATAGCCAGAGCTACATAACAGACTCTGTCTCAAGTAAACAAATGGATAAATAAAATGGCCCTGTTTAGCTAGGTATAGTGGTGAATGCCTCTGAACCCAGCACCAAAGAGGCAGATGTAAGCAGACCTCTGAGTTCCAACACAGCCAGGGCTACATAAAGAGACCCTGCCCCTCAACAAAAAAAGTTGAGTTATAACAAAGAATGAGAACACATACTATGGAAATGCTATTAAGAAACTTACTATTTTGTATACTAAGTTTTAAATTAATTTAAAAAAAGAAAAAGTAGTAAAGACTCATCAGTACTAGAGTAAACCCAGCCTCTTCCCTTACAGCTCGAGGCTCTTCCGTTTCTCATATGCTGACGCTTGTCCTAATGGTCTGTGTGCCTACAGAATTCAACATAGTAGCTAACAAATAAGAGGCATGCTGCTAATAAAAAGTTACTCTTGGATTTTAAAAAGTTAGCATTAAAAATTTTTAATAATTACAGAAGTGCAAAATGAGGCCAGGCATGGTGGCTCTTGCCTTTAATTCCAGCACTCAGGAGACAAAGGTGGGTGGATTTTTGTGAGTTTGAGGCCAACCTGGTCTACAAAGTGAGTTCTAAGGCAGCCAGAATTACCCAGAAAAAAATCCTTTTTCAAAAAACAAAAACAAAAGAAGAAGAGTTGGAAAATGGAGAATTAGAACTTGTTTGTTAAGAAAATTCCCAAAGGGGCTGGAGAGATGGTACAATGGGTTAGAGGTTAAGAACGCTTACTATTCTTCCAGAGGATATGAGTTCAGTTCCCAGCGCCAGTCAAAGGGCTTACAATTGCCTGTAACTCCAGCTCCAGGGGATCTGACACCCTCTTCTGGCCTCTGTGGGGAGGCAGTACTCATGTGTATATGCCCACAGTCAGATGCATATTTTTTTAATTTAATAAATTAAAATTTTTCTGGAAGGTTTCAAGGTGCTCAGGGAGTAGCCCCTTGAAGTTCCGAAGAACCCATGCCGGTCTGAAGGGAATAGAGTGAGGAGTGGAGAGGCTTGGAGTCTTGCTTTGTTTTGTACCCACTGTGCCTCACCGGGAGCAGACCTTCAGCTACCAGCACCATCTTCTTTAAACATCATAGGCGGGAGCAGAGGCCCAAAGAGGAAAGTCAAGAGAGAAGAACATGTAGGAACAACACAACCACCAACCTGGGTTATTGTTTGGTTAAGCTGACTGTTTTGTTTTTTCTTTTGCTTTGTTTTGCTTACCTTTTATTTTTTTGTGTGTATATGTGGATGCACATGACCATACTTGTAGAGATCAGGAGACGGCTTGCAGAAGTTGCAGCCAGATCTCTGTGAGTTCGAGGGCAAGATGATCTACCTAGGGAGTAGACAGCCAGAGCTATAAAATGAGACCTTGTCTCAAAAAAACTAACAACAATTAGTTCTCTTCTTCCACAGTGTGAGTTCCAGGGACCAAAGTTAGATAATCAGGCCTGGTGGCAAATGCCTTTATCCATTGAGTCATCTTTCTAGGCCAAATTAGTTTTGACAGACATCAAAAATACATAACCCTATAGGTTTAACTAAGACCATTCAGTCCACAGTGGTAATGCAGAGTTTACGATCAGCCTGATCTAAAGAGCTGAGTTCCAGGCCCACCAAGGCTACTGAATGAGAATCTGTCTTTTAAAAAGTAGTAACATGTAGGTGGAGACTGCTCTCTTATTTCCCAGTCGCCCAGACCCGAATAATATTACAGAAACTATATTAATTACAACACTGTTTGACCAATGGCTTAAGCATATTTTTAGCTAACTCTTATATCTTAAATTAACCCATTCCTATTATTCTGTGTATCGCAACGAGGCTGTGGCCTACAGGTAAGGTTCGGGTTGGCATCTGGCTTTTCCCTGACTCCACCTACTTTCTCTCTTTATCTCTGTTCAGATTTCCTACCTGACTTTATTCAACTAAGCCATTGGCTGAAACAGCTTCTTTAATAACCAATGTTAATAAAACATATTCATAGCATAGAGAGGGGAATCCCACATCAGTAACATTGTCGGGCGGTGGTGGTGCACACCTTTAATCGCAGCACTGAGGAGCCAGAGACAGCCAGATCTCTGAGTTTGAACTCAGAGTGAGTTCCAGGATAGCCAGGACTAAACAGAGAAACCCTGCCTTGAAAAATAAAAACAAAAGTTGTAACGCAGCAGCAGTTGCTGTTACCATCACTTTATTAGATTTTACACCAGGCACTAGAAATTTTACATTGACAATTTCTGATCAACCAGGCATTGTGACACACGCCTACAGCTCTCTCTATCCAGGCAGAGGTAAGGGTTGGTAAAAGAAAGAGATTTTTTTTTTTCATTTAGAGCTCCTCTTGCTAAAGTACTCATGTTGATATGGATCCAAAGGAAACTGTCAGGGGCTGACCACGGAAAGGCTAATCTTTGTTGAAACTGGCTACTTACAGCTAGGTTTGGAGGTGCATACTTTTAATCCCAGCACCCCGGAGGCAGAAGCAGGATGAGGCATTTGAGAGCAATTTGAAGTACATGGCATTGTCTCAGAAACTAACAAAATAAAAAATCACCTCTCATGGTGAAATTGAGAAATCCAAATTAAAAACCTTTTGATGGCCCGGCGGTGGTGGCGCACGCCTTTAATCCCAGCACTTGGGAGGCAGAGGCAGGCGGATCTCTGTGAGTTCGAGACCAGCCTGGTCTACAAGAGCTAGTTCCAGGACAGGCTCCAAAACCACAGAGAAAGCCTGTCTCGAAAAAGCAAAAAAATAAATAAATAAATAAAAAACCTTTTGATGAACCATCCTGCCTCCATCCTAGACTTAAAAGCTATTTTATAGTAAAGATAAACTTGGCTCATTCCTGTTTATGATTAAACCTCTGTTTCTCAAGGATTGGACTATACACCACCTGTAACCTTAACTACAAATGGTTCTGTACTGTCTGTTCCAGGAAGCAGCAACCATGTCTTTACTTCAAAAACTTGTTAGGACCATCTTGTAGCCCTACCTTTATTTCAAAAGGTTATTATAACCCCCCGTTGTTACGACTACCTTGTTATGACCACCTTGTTATGTTCGATTGCTGTAACCCTGCCTGTTT